TATATATATATTTAATTCAGACTTGTTGTGCACACCTACATAAACTGTCTTTAGGTAATGTAAGAATGAGATCTGGATGTTGTACAACGTTATGCTTCCTTCAGAAGCTAAGGCTACACTTACTAATATACTGTGTTGGGGTAGGTGAGGGGTGCTGTCTGGGTAGTGTACATGTGAGGCCGAACACATGACACCCACTTGCTCGCTGCAAATTTACCAGACAATTATCAGCACCACTGGATGTCACACAGACTTTGTAACACTGTCAAATGTCCGCTTAGCTAAGCTGGACATTTCGGGGCAGAGTCTTGAGGAGTTTAGTGCTGCACAACTAATTAAAATTTAATTTCTTTCCTTCACAACAACATCCTGAAAGAAAGAAAACACCTCAAACACTTGAAAACAAACTCTAAACAGTTATGACTGGGTGGCTATCATTTCAAAATTCCCAGAACCAGAAATCCAAACAGGCAGTATGAGGCCATGTCGGTGGCTGGGAGCTTGTGGTAAACTACATTAATCTGTAGTTTACCACAGTCAGTATTCCCTGGAAATAGCTCGGACCTTTTCTCACCATGACACAGGGCAGCCTTGGTGCCTAACTCTTAAGTGCTGGTGCACAGTATTCCCATTTTTTAAAATGAGTTATGTGCAAAAATAATAATAATAATAACAATAATAATGATGATAATTTGAATTAAATAAAAATTCTGCATAGGAAACCAAACCAGGAAATTCTGCAAACCTGGCTTTAAGTATTACTGACATTAGTCACATCTATTTATTTTTTTCCATCCCATGCATGCTGCTGACCGGAAAAATGAAAAAGGTCAGCTGCATGCATGGGATGTGGTTCATTTTATATTGCCTGGGAAATAATGAGTATATCACACATTAATCTTATCTCCTGGGCACCAGTCTGACCAGCTGTCTAAGGACATCTATCATCAGCTCAGCACAGTAGTTGCCATTTTCGTGTTGCTAATTCGTTGAGAGCTTATATTAAAAACAAATACCTACAGAGGACCGGTTCAACTTGGGACGCTGCCATTTCTGGAGAGACACGAAGCTTATGTCTTTACGCATTTATGTCAAGACTGTGAGCATGCACAGAAAGAATGCAGGTTAAATCACACATGGTCTAAAATATTTGTGAAAAGCTTTAAATACCCCTGTGAAACCCATTTATTCATGAACATGTTGTTAGGGTGGCTTACAAATGAAAATAAATGACTGAGATGAATAAACATGAATGGATTCTAAAGAAGTGTCACATATAAACATTTATCCCTTCAGGCAATGTGTTAGGTTAGTGTTTATATATAATGCAAAGGCCCAGCTACCAGTGCTGGAATTTTAACAGCTTAGCCAATGTGACAGGCAGAAATGAGAGCTCGAGGGGGTCAAAGTGTGAAACTAGTGACCCATTTCGTCTTTGGAGTGATTGAAAAAGCTGAGGCGTTGACAAGCCAGCAAAAAACAACAGGATATTAATGGCTGGTGTGACAATAGAAAAAAAACTGCTGAGGTGAATTTGAGTAAACTGCTGGCTGTAAATGAGACGCTGCAGAAAGGAGCAGCAGATCTGTCACAGGGATGAATAGCGAAGCGTGAAAAAGCAAATAAAAATACACAAAGGCCGTAAAGACTGGAAAAATACTGACATGGAAGAGGAGGGCCGTGCAGAGCCAGGACAGGCCGAGATGTGGGGCTGAAAAGCAGCAGAGCTCCCCGCTGTATGTGGACTGACCAGAGGCTGCTGCTTGTCGTAAACAACTCGCAGGGAACAATGGGCAGGGTTGGGTTGACTTTATCCGATTATAAAACTATGCAGACGTCTCCTCTCTGGCAAACTGAGCACTGCTTTTTTAATAAATAAACAACAAAAGCCAGATAAAACCAGAACGAAACGCTTAAAGCCTTAACATCTACCCATCACAGGTCTCCCCAAAAACAAGTCAGTCCCACCGCTGAGAGCTAACGTTAGCTGGGAGCTGCGACCCACACTCGGCGAAGAATTCACTCTGTCAGCCGCATTCAACCAGCTGAGAAACAAGCGAAACTAATCGCTTTCACCAAAACGTAACTTGTGCGTTGAAATTCGTAGTGAGAAAAACAGACGAGATGTAAAAAAATCGGACCTGTTTACCTGTTAGAGTAGCTGCACTCCACAGGGCGCCGCCATCTTGAACAGCTCACAGCCCATCCCACCACAGTGTGCCTCCGCTGTCAGCCTGCATGCAAAAATAATCCCAGGCGTTGGAGCACTGCGCGTCATAACCGCAACTTTTACCACTCGAAATCAAATTACATCTAAAAAAAAAAAAAGCTCCAACTCTCTTGCTTGGCATACTTTACCGCTAGAATTAGCATTTACAGACGTTTCTCGGAATAAATAAATAAATATATGATGTATGTAAACATATATATTTATCTATATTTTCAAAGCTAAATAAAGCTTATAATATTTTTCAATCACCCAACTGGTGGAAGAATGAAGCCTGCATGCAGAGAGTGAAATTGTATATATTTTTATTATTATTAAATCAGGTGGCAGTAGTTGGTAGAAATATATGGAAGCTCATTCGTGCCATAAAAAGAAAACCAAAATTGATAAATAATTAAAAACATAAAAAATAAAAGATATAAAAAAACAGATAAATAAATAAATAAATACTGGTGAAAATCCACCATGAAATACAATTATTTTTCTTTAACCTGAATAATTAAGTCAAATGTATGAGGCAGGGTTTTTTTGTTTGTTTGTTTGTTTGTTTGTTTGTTTTTTTACTTTATACATTTAATTATATGCAAATACACATCAGGGCGGCCCAGTAATTGAACACATGCCTGCACACCACTGGTCAAAGCTACTCCACACAATCTAAAATCAAAATCAAATCAAATCAAATCACTTTTATTGTCACATCACATGTGCAGGTACATTGGTACAGCACATGTGAGTGAAATTCTTGTGTGCGAGCTTCAT